CGCAAACAAACACTGCCCTCCTGTTCCACTTTCACACCAACCAAAACACCACTTGTAGTGTTTTATAACTTGAAAACTCAGGTCTACATGCAGCCAACAGTCTGACCTATCTGTACACCAAACAGCTCCTTGCGATCAATGATAATAATTCTAAAAGATTTCTGGTTCTTGGTAGTGGAATTGTTTATTATCTTGGGCATTACAGCTGAACAGCATAGGGCTGCTGTTTTTACTTTTTTTTTTTTTTGGCCAGTTACATTTTTTATGAATAAATGCTAACATAATCAAAGTAAACATAAAATACAGCTGTCAAAAGATGATTTTATTTTTCTGTTTAACAAACATCCAAACTAATCTAGTTCTATGTGAAAAGATAATGAATTAACTGCATCTCCAGTCAGACCTGATTCCTACCAGACCAGTAGAATCAAAAAGTCACTTAATAAAGAAGCCACAACAACATTTAAAGCACTAAGATTTACTTGCCTCATTTAAGATTTACTATTCATGATTCAATAATAAGGTTGGTCATAATATCGGCAAGCAACATTTTAATAATTTCCAAAGACTTTAGGGAATTATGCGAATGAGACCAAGTGGAGCATTTTATAAGATATGGGTGCCATTACAGCAAGGGTGTGTTGCAAGTTGGGGATGAGGAGGGATGGGGGGGCAACGAGGGGCACTGATGTACCCACAGTTTACTGGATAACCTTTTCTTTTTTAGTGCTAATAATGAAGCCAAGACGTCCTGTTCAGGCATGTCAGATTAATGGTACCTTTAAAATAACCTTATAGCAGGTATTATTGAAATGGCCTTGTCAGAGTCTCAGTTTGAATTAAGTTACCATTCTGTAGTGTGAACTTAAATTGGATGCTGGGAAGTCCTCACATCTGACTGAAGTAAAGCACTTCTGCAAAGAAGAGTAGATCAGATTTCCCTCACTGCATTAGTAGTCAGTGACTCTTGATTGCAGCTGTTGCTGCCAAGGCTGTCGTTCGGTTTGTGGACAATTACTTCTTCAACACCAGGTTGGTTAGTGTGACTGCTGTCACAGAGTAAGTGTAATTGTTTTCTGTTCTTCCTTAATATTACTTTACATATTTGTTTGAATAGTTTAGATTTTTATCTTTAAATTTGTTTTCATTCATTTGACCAATTTAGTTGACTATTTGTAGTGCACCCATTTAGTTAACTTTGTCAGTTCTTTGTAGTTTTTGTTAAATGCACTGAATTTCTTTTGTTTGACTTTACCAGTTTCCCCTGGAGCTACGGATGGAATTAAGATGATTTCCAGCTGATGGCCACTGGCTGTCAACTTCCCAGTGGGTCGTTCCATCTGCTCACCAGGGGAAGGGAAATTTGGTCTTTCAGTTTAGTTTAATCATTTCTTTATTGTTTGTTTTTCTGAAAGTTAGTTCAGTTCTAATATTTACTTAATTTAAATATTTAGTAATGTTTCTCAGTATTTGTTTGTTCTTTGTGTGTTTAATTATCTCTTTTGGGTTTAGTCGTGGTTTGATCAGCCACTATTTAAGTTCTCTTCATGTCTTGTTAGTTAGGTCAGTTTTGTTTGAGTTCTTTTGTGTTACTACCTGAGTTGTAGTTTGTTATGTTGACCTCAATTTTGGGCCGAGTTTATCATTTTGAAATTATTTTTGGATTCTTTTGTAATAAATTAATATATTTTTTTAAAAATTTACTCAACGTCTCTCTGGCTGGTTTGTGTAAAATTCTCACAGTTAGACTAGCATTTTCCTCTAAAGAAATAAAACCATTATTTAAAAATGGCTTTTTGTAATTACTCTAGACAATATCATCAGACATAAACATTTGCACAATAATCTGAAATATTTAGATATTTCTTAGAAATAAACCAAACCAGAGGAAATGTGTAAAAAAACAACAACAAAAATGGAACCAAGAAGCTGATCAGTTTTTACTTGCAGTGTTGAAGATATCAGATGCATGAACTCACTGGCAGCTTGAATTAAATCAGGTGGACAGGCAGATATATGTGGCTTTTTTTGGACAGACTACAGTCCTTCTGCTTTATCTTTCTGAGTCTGAGTAGTAGCAGGTGTTGCATCAAATACCTCTGCCTGAAATAAACCGGAAATGATGCAACAGCTGATTTCCATGCATCATGTGCATGTGTTTCTAAATGTTGCATCACAAAAAGACACTTTAGAAATGTTAGCAGCAAATATGTCTATTGACATTGAAACATATTGCCTGCATGCATTTTTTGTAAAAAAAAAAAAAAAAAAGAGAAAAATACACTTAAGCAAGAATGACTTAAAAGTGCATGTGACAAAAACGAACAATGAAAAAACGCTGATTCTTGCTTAAGAGCATCGCACTATGATATGGAAAAATGCATACATTTCAGCCTGTTTTGCTTTTTATGCTGTTGTTCCTCATCTGACTGTCACTTTGGAGTAGTTTTCCAGAAAACTAAGCTGGTGAAATTAAACGTCCTGTGCTTTGAGAATACATAACAACGTATCAGAGCAATCAGATTATGTGTTTTAGTCAAACCACAAGAAGTAAAATGTTTCAGATTTTCATAGATCAGATTTCTACTATCAGGCCCTTAAAATGCCTCGTCTCAGCTGGCGGATGAGGAACAAAACCCGACGAGGTCCAAACCAGGAACGGAGCGTTTGAATGTGGATGTTGCTGCATCACACCCGACCAGATGAAGTGAGTGATGCAGCAGATCGTCCACAGCATCCCCACTAAAAACAGGCTCAAACCTCCTGCTGCTCCTCCAGACTCTGTGCAGCTTCGGGTCCAATAAGGAGCACATGCTGCAACCGCCACGTTCCCATCATCATTGCATAATTTAGGTCAAGCTCACGTCCATCCGCCACTCTCTGCCCGGAACCAGGAGCTCTTACCGTGCTGAGATTTATCAATCTGCCCCCACTCAGTCGCGTCCAGTTATCACGACCCACGGCAGCCCTTTCCAACCGTATAAATAGACACAGACCGGTGGGAGGATCTATTGCTGTCTGGGGTCTCTTGAATGAGATAATGAGCCAAACCTCTCTCCCGTCATCCTACATGCGCGCGTGACACACGCTCACCTCGGTGCGGTTGAATCCGACCAGACCCGGCCTGATCGGCCCGAAAGTTTGGGCTCGATGTGAAATCTCCTCAGAGTGCTGACAGCGGAGCGTTAAAGAGACAAACCGGATGACGCGCCTGCTCCTCCACAGCCACATGCGCATCTCGGTGTGCGCGGCGTGAGCGCGTTCACGGAGCGAGATCAGAGCATCTCAGCATCTTCACAGCGCCACCGACGCTGCTGCTCACCGCGCAGCCTTTGCTTGCAAAATGCTCCAAAGTGTACAGTGTTGCAGAAGTAATCACTTCCCTCGAGCATTTTCACAACCACGATGTTGCGTTGGGATTTTCATACATCAACACAAAGACTCTGTGAATGGGATTTTTTGTTTGCTTGTTTAAATCAGGCTACAAACATCTATAAATCTGAAATGGGTTGTTCTAATACCTCTGCACAGTGGAGCAGCACTTTGTCTTGCAGCAAAAGGTCGTGAGTTTGCATGTCCTGCATGCATCACTGTGCATGCATTGATTCTCTCCCACATTTCAAAAAGGTGATTGTAATTATTCTCTAAATCTTCCTGAAGATTTAGAGATCTGTACATCCTGTTTGTCTCGACCTGTCTTCTGCCCTGTGAAAGTAGCATCCAGCATCTTCTCAATTATCTCCCCAGTTACATAAATGGATGGACCCCAAAAATATAGTGCAACAAATTAGAATAGATACATATTTTTGTCTTCAAATGGGCATTTGTCTTGGATAAATTGCTACACAGTAGCAAAAGAACATATGAACAACACACAGGGATAAAACACATGCTCAAAAAAATCAAAGCAAAAAGAAGGTTAAAAAATAAGGTTTCCTCTTTAAAACTGCTCTGCTGTCTCTCTGGTCTTTCAAATTGATTATTTTCATATGGGCAAGCTTGGTCCTATGTCGAAGAGTTGTTTCCAAACCAGGTTGTGATCCAACAGCATAATATTTAAAAAGTAAAAAAAGAAAAAGAAAAAGTAGAGGTAAAAAGCAAGCGTTAACGTCAACCCTAAAAAGTGCCAGTGGTCTTTGAAAGTATTGTCTCTGCTGCAGCTGTAAACACAGAGAGTGGGCTTTCTAACACAGCACACTGTCCATCTGCATCCATGGTATTTATAGAGCCATGCTTTTTAAATAGCAGTGTCCTTTATCATGACAGGCTTGTGGTCTGAAACATTCCTCTGGTCAAAATCAGAATCAGAAAGCCTTTATTGTCATTGTACAGAAGCCCAACAGTTCAGTACTTCCCATCCGAAGAAGACAAAGACATTTTTTTGTATCTTTCTGGTGTTTAGCAGAAGATAATCAACTGAAAGCTTAAAAGGAATCATATCAAGCCCAACGTGCTGCCATATTTTCTTCACGGCAGCAGTGATGGTGGCAGCATCATTCTGTGGGGATATTTCTCAGGAATTGAGTAAAAGGTTTGAGTTATTGGAACATTGTGCCAAATACAGGGAAATCCTGAAAAAAAAAATCTTTAGCAGAGTGCAAAATAGTTGAAACTGAGGCATAGGTTCACCTGTCATCAAGATGACTAAACATACAGCCAGAGCTGCATGTGATAGCATGTTCAAGTCAATTAAGACTATCTGTTGCAAAACTTGAAAATTGCAGTTTAGTTGAAGAAATCAGAACATTTTTTTTTCCCAAGTTGTACATGTATTTGTCTTAATCACAAAGAGAATGTATTTTAAATGTATATTAAGTAATTTTGATATTGTTTACTTGCCAATATGATCTAAGAATATTTACAATAATAATCATCTAAGAAACATTTAATATTCTTTGCTTATGTCACATGATGGACTGCTGATGTTTCAGGATGATTTTCTGATATTACAAAATAATCCGAAATCTAATATAATCTAAGAATATTTATTTAGATTTTTTCCCCAATAACCCCTTATCATTGTGCTGTGAAATATTAAGCAGATCTGTTTCAGAGCTGCGGCCTCTGGCAGGTAAACAATGCGCATGAAGGTTGGTAAAACTACGGCGCCAAAGTTTCATTACCAAATGGCTCCTGTATATAATCTGAATAATTAAAAAATGTCTTGTTTTCTCTATCCCAGAGGCGCACGCATCCCCAGCAGCCAATGGGAAGCCAGTCATACCACAAAATCCCGCCTCTTCGTCACTTCATCCAATCAGCGGGGAGTATTTATCACTTCCGGTTGTTTTCAATACACCGAAGACACATGTCTGCTACTAGCTAGCGGTGGCGATAAACGAGGAAAGCGGACATAAAAGCCTCTCAGAATGGTTCACATCAGTAGAATTTGTTTCCGCAAGGTAAATAAATACGTCAACCTGTTTGTTACCAACACGACGTGTCGGTGCGGTTTTAAACTATTTCACATTAGCGGTCAAGCTAGCAGTCAGCGCAAAAATGTTGCATTAAAGTAAAAATATTTCACAGTTTCTGATGTTTGATTGCATTTTGCTAAATTGCTTGTGTTTGATATGAAGAAAACAAAGTCACTCAAAGGATAAAATCTTTTGTAATGTGGGATTATTCAGTTCTTGAGGTTGAATTGCCATTTTTATTTTCTTGGAAAGTATTTGGGCTGCAAAATGTAAAAGATGCACAAATGAAAGCACACATAATCATAACAGCCCATTATTTAATATTACTATGTAGTAATCGCCTTTAGAGTGCCTTTCTTTTTTCTGCAATAGGGCACAGCTCTTGGAACATTTTCATATTATTGACTTTTTGGATTTTATGTCATTTAACATTTTTCTATGTGCTGCTTTGTGTTGGTTAGCAAAGCAAAAATATATTGGAGTTTATATAGTTACAACTAAGTCATACACTAAGCTGAGGAAAAATGAGAATCTGCCAGTTTTAGATGTAAAATGAGATTAACATCAAGAACTAGAGCACATATCTTATATTTCTTTTTATCCTTTTTACAATTTAGATTATAAAATGTAAAGTATCATTTTTTTTAAGTGCTTTAGTTCAAGATCCAAAAGTAGATTTACTATCATTTTAAGTAATGCATGTGTAAAGCCATGTGTAAATGTGTTACATTACCTAAAAGCAGGGAGCTTACCATCACATCTGACTCGTGTTTTTAACGTTTCCATTCAGTATGGAAACTTTGTGGACAACCTCCGCCTGTACGTACGTGGAGGCACTGGAGGGATGGCTCTACCTCGCCTTGGAGGACATGGAGGGAACGGAGGAAACATTTGGGTGGTGGCGACACAGAACATGACTTTAAAGAAGATCAAGGACAAATACCCGTTAAAACGGTTCGTGGGGGGATCAGGAGCCAACAGCAGGTTGGTGTCTTCAAACACAACCTTGTTTTAAAATTCAGCTCTTACTTACATATATGCTTTCCATCTATCAGACATCACTGAACGCTTTTGTTGATATTTGATTTTCTTATGTCAGTGTAAGAGCTCTGAAGGGAGAAAAAGGGAAGGATGCGGAAATCCCAGCACCCATTGGTATCACTGTCACCTCTGATGACGGCACAATACTTGGTATATGAGAAGTCCGTTTCATGTCAATAATTAAATTTCATGTAAAATGTTTTTTTGGGGAAAACTTTCTTTTCTCATCAATTCTTTCACAAGGCGAACTGAATGCTGAGGGCGATCGGGTGCTGGTGGCGAAAGGAGGATCCGGGGGGACACCCCACTCTGCCTTCGAACCCAAGAAAGGCCAGGTCAAACACATACGTCTGGACCTGAAGCTCATCGCTGACCTGGGCCTCGTAGGGTGAGAGCAGAAACTCACATTAGCAAGTATACATTACCTTACAAAAGGGTTCACATCTCTTGGACTGTTTTTGTTAAATTGCAACGTATTCACAGTAAAAAGTCTGGTGTGATTTTGCCTTAGCGCAATGTTCTGTTCATGCCGCAGATGTATGGAGCAAAATTCATGACAATTCCTCTTTTATCCGTTTGTTGCAAAAGGCTTGATGTGGCAGCAGTGGTTCACCTTTCATCGGGACAGCTTCCACTTTACAATTATGATCTAGTTCTTGATTGGTCTATTGCTTAAGATCCCAATGGAATAAGTCATATAAAATACAAATTTGTTGGAGCCTGGCTTAAAAAAAGATTGAAACAAAACAGTCTTTGATGCTGGATGTATGCTGACTATGTTTTGCTAAATTCTCATCAGGTTCCCAAATGCAGGAAAGTCATCTCTCCTCAGAGCCTTGTCAAACGCTACACCTCAAATTGCCAACTACGCTTGTAAGAATAAAACAGTTTCAAGCTCAGTACATCTCACATATTTTTTTTTTATTTCTAAAGTCCTTCATCATTTGTCTTAACTTCAGTCACAACTTTGAGGCCTGAGATTGGCAAGGTTGCCTATCCAGATTACAAGCAAGTATGTGAAGGCTTTCTAGCACTTAATGTGTGTTTTAAAGTTTTCTTAATTATTTGATTTTATTTTGTCAGATCTCAATTGCGGATTTGCCGGGGCTCATCGAGGGGGCTCACCTGAACCGAGGCATGGGCCACAAGTTCCTGAAGCACGTAGAGAGGACCAAACACCTGCTGTTTGTTGTATGTAGAAGCAGAAATAATGTTCGACATTTGTAAATATATCAGAATGTGGTCAGTGTAATCAGGGTTGACTGTAAGATGCTCTGTGTTCTTGCAGGTGGATGTTTGTGGTTTCCAGCTGGCCAGTAAAACACCTTGGAGATCTGCCTTTGAGGCGGTGCAGCTTCTCACCAAGGTGAGTCTGATGCTGCAAGGTGTTTTGTTATTTTTATTATAAAATCCTGCTCTTACTGCTGCCAGGTCAAAAATGTTTTTCTTATCAGGGTTCATTCCCTGTGTCAAGATTGTGAAATAGATTTTTTTTTCCAGATCTGGAAGAATATTTAGCATTATTTGTTTATTAGCATTATTACTTTATTCCCTATTCCATCCGCTAATAGCTGTGACCTTCCCTTCACATCTGTCTGCCTTCCTTCCTCCCTTTTTTTCTTCCTTCCTCTCTTCTTTCCTTTATTCCTTCCTTGCATACTTTCTTTCTTTCTTCCTGCCTGCTGTTTTCTTTTAACTCTGACCTCTGCAGAAATACCTGCCATAAACTCACAGTGAAATTATACTTTCAAAAACAGATTTTCAACCCAGGCTGAGAACTGGAGATTTCAGTCTTTGAACTCTAAAGCTTTTGTGAAATCTGTGTTAGAACATTTGAGTGTAACTTTTTGTTTGAACTACTCACCTCTTAACCCTCCTGTTGTCCTCGGCTCATGTCGACCGAGGACAAGCCCTTAAAAAATATGTTTTTCAATTGCAGCTGCATACAGAAACTTCAATCTAACAGTCCTGCATCAGAACTATGGTGTGCACAACTCAGGGGGAAGTTTAGGCTCAAGCAATCCAAATGTGAACTTTACAAAAGAAATAAAGATAACCAAACCCAGGCCTCAGGTCAGACTGACCGGAAGACTAAGGAAATCACAGCTGGACAGGCAAACAGTATGGAATGGCATCATTGATCTCCGTAAAACTGATATCTTTTCAAATTTCCCCCCCTCCTGTTGCCCTCGGGTTGACATGACCCGAGGACAAGCCCTTATAAAACATTTTTTTAATTGCAACTGCATACAGAAACTTGAAATCTAACAGTCCTGAATCAGACCTACAGTGTTCACAACTCAGATGGAATTTTCTGCTGGAGCAATTCAAATGTGAACTTGACGAAAAAAATAAGAACAACCTCCTGTTGTCTTCGGGTCAAAATGACCCGAAGACAAGAGGAGGGTTAAACTTAATTTTGCCTCCTTCTGTATCTCCATCGCCTCTCGCTGAAGGAACTGGAGTTGTACAAGGAGGAGCTCGTGTCAAAACCTGCATTGCTGGTGGTAAATAAAATGGACTTGCCTGAAGCTGAGGACATGCTGGAAGAACTCAGGGAGCAACTTCAAAACCCAGACGGTAAGTTACTGTGTTAGTGTTGACCACTGTTAGATGTTAAATGTTAAATGAAATACCTCAATACAATTACCCATAATTCCTGCAACAGTTAAGTATGTTTTTGGTGGAGCAGGTTTCAGGACATAGTGACATCTAGTGGAAAGCTTACAATTCAGTATTTTGAATATAGAAGCCTCTGAAAAACAAATATCAAAGTAGGGATCCTATGTTAACATGTAACTCTGTCTGTTAAGATGTTTTTGATTGAAATAGCTTTTGATTTTAGTACATGTCAGTGCTGCACATTCAAAGAATGACTGTTTGCAGTTCTTTATAATCCATAAAATGTTTAGAAAATCTTCTGTGCATAATAGTTTGGAACAGTGCATTTTGAGTTTTTATTTTTAAAATAAATACTGTTCTTATGGGGAGGTTTGTTCAGTAAAATTTGATTTGTCCTGTAATAGTTCATGACTTGACAATTATACTGACCATCATTTGCATTGACCATTTAAGAAAACCTGAGAAAATATCACTTGCATAATCATTTGGAACACTGTATATTAGACTGTTTATATTATAGCTTGTATTAAAAATTTGATATGAACCAGATTGTTAGACCTTTACATTTACCTTTTGTTATTCTCTGCCATCCACAGAGTTCACCAATTCGCTGCCAAATGATATGATCCCGAAGAACTTCATAACATTCAGACATGTGGTTCCTATTTCCGCCCTCACCGGGTTTGGTGTCGACCATCTGAAGAGTTGCATTCGACTCTCGCTGGATGAGTACGCCGCCATGGAAAAGAGCGCCATGCATCAGGAAAAGCTGCAAGTACTGAGGCAACAATCTCATGAAAGTTTTAGAAACGAGGACAAAATCTCACTGTGAAGTGGCGTCGGCAGAACTCAGTGTGAAACAAAGCGAGGTGGAGAGATTTCTCTTTGGAGAAACGCAGGAGGGAGAACAAGTGCTCAGCAGCTTCGATGGAGGAAACGCTGCATACATGTCTGAAATACTGGCCTGCTCCTCTGGACTTTCAACATAGAATAAGGAACGTCTTTTCTGCTTCATCCAGACGTTCACAAATGAGATTGTGTTCATTAAAGCTGCTTTGGTAACATCTCAACATGCAGAGTGCAAAAATGTAGAGTTAAAATAAATATTTAAGTTTGGTCGAGTTTGATTGATTCTAAAGAAAAACTGAGAATTGTGTTTGAATGAAAGTTTTATTTTATATTAAATATATTACAATACTTAATGATTAAGAGAAAAAAATAAGTGGGCTGATTTTTGCATCAATAGTCTGTACAGCACACAAGTAAAAATAAAGATAAAAAAAAGAACAACTGCAATGTTCCTGGAGTCGAAGGCCTACGAGTCTAGCCGAACTGGAGCCCACCGAAGTAGTCAGTCTGCTCAAGTACGCAAATACATTCAAAGTTTCCGGCCAGAAACGGAGTCCACAGCTCATCTGGAGGGTGGACACTTTGTCCTGTTTGGACTGGTCAGTCCAGCTGTTTGTGCAGGCTGAATCCAGGAGGCATTCCTCGCAGGCTGCGCTCCGAGGGTTGTGCAGTGCAAAGTCCAGGACACCAGAACGAATGTCTTCATCGAACACAGTATTATTGTGTTAAAACGTTACTCAGCAGCTCTAGAAATGATGCTCGCCTCAGGAAAAATGAGAGGAGCAGAACTCTGGAGCAAAGAAAGAAAAAAATACAATAAAGCACTTATTACCAGTCGAATGGTTGCTGTACATAATACCAGGGTTCCTACACCGTCTTGGAAAAGTTCGGAATATAAATGTATTGTTTTCCTTATCTGGATAAGTTAGGAAAAGTAAAACGGTATAGAAAAGTTTGAGTTCACAGCGATATTCCTTGTTTGAGCCGTGAAAAAATAAAATTTTTAACTTCCTGAAAAATAAGTTCATTTTTACAATGTCTTAATTTGTGTTTTATCCCAGATATGCCAAATCACAACTCAAGTTTTGAATTTGGGTTACTGACAGAAATGATGCATGAAAACTTTCATTTGGAAATCAAAAAGGCCATTTCCCAGTTTTAGCCACTAAATCCTCTTCAGGCAGGATTTTAAACAACTTGTGGTTCTTACACTTTTATGCATTTCCCTATTGTTTGGTGCCTCACCTTTTAGATAACATTTAATAACAGCAAAGATAATTTGAGTAAATGCAAAAGGTTTTGAACTGATGGTTTTATTAAGGGAGGAAAACTATCCAAACCAACCTGGACCTGTGTGAAATCAAATCTCCACAGTAACACAAAAGGTTGATAGCCAATTATTAGAAAATATTTTTTAGTCAGTTTTTGCTGACTTCAAAATACCTGATAACAACCAGTTATCAGGCTCAGGGGATAATTATTTGGTCAAATAGAGCCAAGTTGGTTTGGAAAGATTTTTTTTTTAATAAATACATTTTCTTGAAAACTGCACTTTTTATTTATTCAAATGATCTTTCTCTGAAATTAAACGTTCTACATGTTTGAGGGACACAAAAAGTTAAAGCCGAAAAAATCTGTAAGGGGGTGCAAGCACTTTTTCATGGAAATGTAGGTGAATGTTTTGAACTCAGATGTCCTTAATGGTACAAAAAAAGAAACAAAAAAAATAAAAATAAATTTGAGTCTGAGAAATTATGAGATCTTGAAATTTTGTAGGAACCCTGTAATGCTGAATATTGAAAAGATTCTTAAAAACAAGACGTTTGAAGCAATATTAGTTCAGTATCGTGAAGATGGCTTTACCTATACAGATCAAATGCATACATAAACTACAAATGTAAAAGAGGAACAGAAACACTCGTAAAATGACAAACTCAGAGCTTTAGGACGACGGTTTCCACACAAGGTAGAGCGCCGAGTCGCCGCTGTACGAAGAACTTGCTGTTAGGAAGCGGGCACCAAGACATCCACCTTAAATAGCTGCACAGGTGCGACAGAAACACGACTTGACTCTGTGAAGTTCCACTGCTGAGCGGCGGAGGGACACAAACCGCATTAAGACAAATGGAGCAGGGCTCAAGACTTTCAGTGACATGCTCGTTTTCCTCGTTACGGTCTCACAATTAGCCAACCGGAGATATAACTTAAGGTTCGATATAGAACGGCCATGCCATTGGTCTTCACAAGCTCAAACAGCAAGCATTGTACAGCATAGTTAATCATTTACAAAGGCTCGAACAACTCGAACCCTCACAGCGAAATCCAAAAGTGCACATTTAAAAAAATGCACAGATCCAGTTCGAGTTCAGCCGGCCACATTCACCTCTCCGGCTCACATTCAAGTGAGGTGAAGTGAGGGACTTTCCTGTGAAAAAAGGGGAGGTGGGGGTGGGCAGCACACTGGTCTCCAACATTCCCACGTACAATCTGGGAGCATGTTTCCAAAAACAACAAGATAAGTGGCACATCTACAAACTACAGCAAACACATCCGAGTCCATTAAACTCAATGGGAAATGGAACGGAGAACTATCTTATTTATGCTAAAATAATACTCGTCCGGAGAGGTCTGAGCTCCAAATGTGTCACAATCATCTGCAAGTTTATCACAGAGATTATTAGAAAATAATGCAAACATGATGTAAAAAGACACATTCTGCTGTTGATGGATGAAGCGAGGGAGATCCACCAAAAAGACAAAAAAAATTCAAAAATTCAAAAATAGAAACCCTGACGGGACAGTGCAGGGTCTTCATATTTATCTACAGACATCGCCTCTGTCTACAGCTAAAACAATGAGCTGAGTATTCTCTATGCTTTTGTCTTTAAAAATAAAAGCACAAGCATACTCTGTGTGTACTTCACTGTACATATTTACACACACATCGGCAAATTTCTGGGGAACGAGAATAATAGGAGGGCAGGATCAGTTCAAGAAGTGAAATATATCTGGTGACACATGGGTTAGTTTTAATGCAGATGCATGCTTTCCCTTCAAGTCAGGCTGCTGCTCTTCTTTATGCCGGGAAGATGTAGCTGAGGGCTTCTCTCATGCACACAATGCTGGACTTTCAACTCAAACAACATCCTGCAAAAATCAGTCAGTGCAGACTCAAGAGAGATGTGGTGGCTTCTTTCTGCCTCCTCCGCTTCCTTCAGAGGAGCTCCAACGCCTTAGGGTGGGTGATGGTGTGTCTGAAGAGACTGTGACAAGAGCTGATCTATGAAAGGTGTGTGGGGGCCGGGGGGGTCCAAGTCCGATTTTTGAGGCTTCAGCAAAAAAACGAACAGCTCGGTCTGAGCTCCAGGAGGCTTGTTTCTCTGCATCTTCTTGCAGAGTCCGCCCCGAACATATTTGTTCACCCTAACAGACGTCTGTCTAGATCCTTTCTATTCCGTTCACTTTGTCTCGTTCTATCTCTTTAGGATCTTTAGAGTCAATTTTATATGCCTTTTTTTTTTTTTCGGTTTTCTGTTTGTAGAAAAGGAGACTTGTGTTCTTTCTTATGAGCTTTCGTCAGAGTTATATTGATGTTTCCCAAAGCTGGAAGAGAAGAAGGAGGGAGGCAAACAGGCGAGAAAGAGATAAACATCTGCGTTAATAATAAAACAATAAGAATAGCACCTTTTCAAATATAAGTTCTTACCTCCTCAAGTAAAATAAATTTTTCTACAAAGCATATAGATGACTCAACAGCATGAAAATAATATATTTGTCAAAAGAATATGACTAAAATAAATTGGTGGGTATCATCAGTTAACACGTTTGAAAATCCCTAAACTCATTATAGCATCTCCAGGTTCAAATGAATCCCCAGTGTCAGAAATACTCAATAGGAAAATACCACACTGCATTATATTCTACAATTGTTTTCATTGGTGCAGAGTGAGCATCTGCACAGTTTAGAATGAGATTAAGTAACATTCTTACTGACATTTGTATCGCACATAAGTAAATTCTGTATCAATGCCATGCATGTGGAGTCTGTGTAATGTGCACACATGGAGAAACTCTGCGGTGTCATAATCCAGTTCCCTATTAATTCCTTTCACAACTTTTCTAAGCGTAAGGTTCTGAATTGTGCTCACCCTGGCGCTCTGCCTGTTGGCTTTCCTCTGGTCGTCTGGCAGTGGAGGCATGGGATATGGGTATCTTCTGCTGGATGCAATGGATCCTGTAGAAGAAGTCGGGGACTTGGCAGGAGAAAGTGTCCTGAGGAAAAAGCGAAGGTGACACTGTTAGACTTTTTGCTTTCTCCTTCTACAGCTGGTGCAGCGACATGTTGACCAAAGACACAGATGGCTAAATGAGGTTAGACACAGAATGTTGAGCTAATGTTAGATCTGTGACTTTGGGCAACATCTTTCTTTAGCTGCTCCAGGAACTCAGTTTCACCTTCACTAAGGCAGAAGTTGCTCTTAAAAGTTGAAGCCGTCATTCATCTGAAGCATAACGAAAACCAATCAGGGCTCAGCTCTTCAGAGCAACCTCTGTGCACTGTTGTTCCCAGCTGCCGTCTTCTGCGACTTACATGCCTTAAAGTTCAAAATGTGCAAAAACACTGAGAAATAGGGAAATATTCATTTATCTGTGTTGAAAATGGACGGAAGCTTCTCCTGTTTAGCTGACAGACTGGATCAGTCAGAGGAAAGCAGACCAGACCACAGCTGGGAATCAATAACATACAGTGGTGCTTAAAGGTTTCTAAATATTTATATTTATTATTTCTGAATAAATATGACCAAAATCATCATATTTTAAAGTTTTCCACCATATAGAATCAAACCAAGTATAAAGAATTGTGGGGTAGCCAAAGAATGCTAATGTTTAAGCTGCCAATATAATTTTTTTCTTTCTAAAAACATTTTTTTTTAAATTTTAAGAAATTAACCACCTTCTTCTTCACAATCCTGTAATGTTTAGGTTATAATGTACACTGGTTTTATATATTGTATATTTGTTGGGATGAAACTTTTAAAATGTATTTTAAGCTACTGCATTCTTTATTTTGTTCTTTTTTCTATGAAATTATGATAATTTTATAGAAAGTCTGGGGTCTTTCTGCTTGGAGTTTGCATGTTCTCCCTATGCATGTGTTGGTTCTGTTTGGGTACTCTAGCTTCCTCCCACAGTTAAGTTAGTTTATCCAGATTGTCCTTTGGCATGAAAGTATGTGCCTGGCTCTTTGTCCTGTGTTTTCCCTGATC